GAGAGAGAGAGAGAGAGAGAGAGAGAGAATATATATATATACAAGGTATGTGAAACAAATGGTTTGGGTCTATGTACTTTTAACCTTTGGATTGTGGAGGAAGAAAAAAGGAGCAGTCCATAATCCAAAATTCTGCTGAGGTGTGAACGAATTTACCCCACTTTTAGCACCCTCTGTATACTGAAGAGACAGAGTCTCTGACTTAACAATAGGCCTTAATAAGACCAAGAACAGTGAACAGTGAGCCAAGAAAAACTGTCCACACAACAGTTTTAAAATTGCCTGTTGGAGACTCAAAATTGGGCCAACCCCACCATAGTCCTGCATAACCCCCATTAAGTTAATATTAGAATTTTACTTTACATAAGAATTTAAAAAACCAACAAAACAAGCAAAGCGAAACAAAAAACATAGTACTTAATTTTTTTTACAGCAAGGATACAACATTTTTTTAAATGTTCACTAAACTTTACAACTAAATAGCCTAACCAACTTAAAAACATTCATCCATCAGAAATAACTAGAAATGAATTTTCCCACATCAGCTTTATTTTGATTTTTCATAAACGTTAAAAAAATATTAAAGCCCTTAGTGTCTACTTTCAAGCAAGGATATGTTCATGTAAAAATGCAGTTTATTATCATCATCATTAAGATGGTCAAACAGACAAGACATGAACAGAACACCCAACCTGTTGAGAGAGAGTCCACGGGATGAGATCACCTGACCCCCGCTGACCTCGCTGCAGACTGTTCATGATGGTTGACTTGGAGATCTCTCCCTCTAGAGAAACCTTGGAGAAGAAAAAAGCCATAAAACTAAAACAAGAAAGGCTTAACAACTGTAAATTAATACTTTCGCTTTCCACTCTGTATATATTCCAAATAATGTACTCATCATGGGCCATGAGTTGCTAACAGGATGCAAAGTGTTCAAAGGACAAGGGATCCAAAGTCAGAATAAAACCAGTCCGTATCAGCTTTTGACATATCCGAAACTTGACAGTAGAAAACAGGCATGGTCACAACTGAGCTTTCTGACAGACACACATATATACATTTATAAGCCTACTTTTTCTCTTACATACACACTTTATATATCCCCCCCCCCCCTTCTCTCTCTCTCTTACATACGTGAACATACTCTTTTCCCCCCTCATTCATTACTCTCACTCACAGATGTTCATGATTCCATCATTAGAGGGACTGCATCTTTTGTCGGTGTGCAAAGGGTCCATCATCATCCCCCCCCCCCCCCCCCCCAACCTACTCGTGATGAGTGAAAGAGGACACTCAAAAAAATGTCAACAAGATGGTGTACATACCTGCAGCACACACAGCACCTCTGGTAGTTCTGTGTTGGCTGACTGCACAGGACCCAGCAGGACAAAGATGTGATGGGCGGGGGCGTCAGACAGAAGCTGCAAGTCATTGGGCGAGTTCTGAGGAGAAAAAGCATCATCACATCCTAGAACTTCTAATATTTCACGGGAGGAGCGACCCTTGAAACCATTTTCTATGTTTGTTGCACGAGATCAAATCTAAGTACAAATATAAGTTAGGCATAGTGAAATCTTTTGATATGCAATGTTATTTTGGTATAGCTACAGCGATTGCTATGGAAACGGCCGCAATCTTGAAAATAAAAAATGAATTTTAAATCCCTACGGCTTTCTTATTTGGTGAGAGTATACCTAAACGAGACCCTATCAGCGCAACAGCAAGTTTTTTTCAATAAGTGTAAAAGAAAAAAAAAAGAGAATTTTCCCAAAGTGAAAAAAGCCTTTTCTAAATGTCGTTTGCATAATCGCTTGCCAATGGAAAAGTGTTATTTTTTCGCAAATATCTCTCGGTTACATTGATGGCAGCCTTGCCATTTATGTTTCCTGAAAGTTTCATGTCAAAAGGATGAAAACTAAGAGAGGAGTAGACAAAAAAATGACATTTTGCGAAAAACGACAATTAATGTGAAAATTCACTATGTTAACCCACCCAAAATCGGCAAAATCAAGGGTCGCTCCTCCCCTTAACACATTACACCTTAAGGGCCTGGACGGGAAGTCCATTGCTAGATCCTAAGCAAGGGGAAGGAACCCACCTCCCATGAATACAAGCCTTTAAAAAAATACATATTTAAAAAATACTAAACAAATTTCAAAAATCCTGAAAAAATAAGTTAAAACGAATAATGAATGTAGTTTCAGAAAAATATAACTTTATGTATGCGCAAACTGTTGGAAATGTCTGAACTTAAGTTCAATCGGGGTGTTCGACCCATCACTCTCACTTTCAGCCTTGCGGTCGGGACCTGGATCTAAATCCTAAATTATCTACGTCTGATCAATCTGAATCGCCCCAAACACTTGCTACGTTTTCATCAAAATATGAGTCATCTGATTTGTCCTATGCTTGTTTTTGCTCAAATCCATTGTTATTTCCTTTTTCGAACTCAATCGCGTTGCTTTTCAACAAGTCAAGACACCTGCGAAGTGTTGGTAACGCGATCGCACTTTTATCGGCTCTGATACTAAAACTACAGGCCCGAAAAATTCCGTTTCGGTATCAAACGAAAGAAGAAACTTTTTGCAATAACTATGCAAATCAAAATCTCTGCCCCAGAGTCTCGTCAAGGCGAGACTTCGTTTCTAAAGACGCTAGGTCGGCACGGGCGGTCCCGGGCAAGTTAGGGTGTAATGTGTTTAGGACTGGAGATTCGCTTGAGTGGAAAAAAAAATAAAGAGACAGGAGATATTGAATAAGTGCACCACAACCTTTTTTTTTTTTTTAACACAGGGACATAGAAGAATAGAATATATACAATTTTGCACCATAAATAAGACTCCATAGGAACAGAATTTACTGTTTCAGCCTTGGCCCCGTGGTCAGCAGCTAGATTAATACCACAGCACAGAGAGGCATGAATCCTGTTCAACCTGGCCATTGACTAGGGCATGAGGAAAACAACAGAGTATACATCAAGAGGCATAAGGTGGACCCTCTTCTCCACCCTTGAGGATCTTGACTTTGCCGACGACCTTGCAGTACCCTCCCATACCAACCAGCACATGCAGGAAAAAACAAACCAACTCCACAAATACGGACGCCAGATTGGGTTAAAAATAAGCCAGAAGAAGACAGAAGTGATGACACTGAATGTAGGCTCTCCAACGCTGATTAGGGTGAACAACACAGACACATTTACCTACCTAGGCAGCATAATCAAAACTGACTGCAGCACAAAGGAAGACATCATGAACAGACAAGATCTGTACACAGAGGCATGATCTACATCTGGAAGTCAGGACAATTTAGTATACAGACCAAGTTAAAGCTGTATAACAGCTGTGTACTATCAACACTCCTATATGGAGCTGAATGCTGGAGGATGACTGATCATGACCGTGCCAAGCTATCTTCCTTTCATACAACCAGCTTACGCCAAATCCTCAGAATCTTCTGATCCGACAAGATCTCCAACACAGATCTGTTACGTAAATGTAAGCAAGAGGACATGACCACCATAATAAAAAGGAGAAGATGGAGATGGATTGGGCATGTTCTGAGAAGAGAACCAGACTGTGAAGACTGCCCTCCACTGGACACCCGAAGGATGTCGCAAAAGGGGCAAGACCCAAAGTAACCCGGAGACGCACAGTAGAGTCTGAAATGAAGTCCTGGAATCATTCGTGGGGAACGCTGACCAAGATGGCCCAAAACAGACAGAGCTGGAGATCCTTTGTTGCTGACCTAAACGCCAGATGGCATAATGGGTAGTAAGTAAGTACAAAGAGGCATGAGTCAAGAGCGCAGAAGGGTAAAGATAGTTCAACTTAGATGGGGGGGTAATCTTGTCTCATTGTTAAATTTGAGGCTATGATTGAAATTATCTTTTAGGGACAGTTCCTTTCATGTAACTAAAAAAATCTGGAGTACTTCTAACATAGACCAACATGTGAGGGAAGGGACCAATATAATCCGTACAGCAACTGACAGGTTAACAGACTAACCTTGTAGTGTGAAGAGACATAGAGCGCCATGATGCGGTGCAGAAATTTCTCCGAGGCTGGGTGGTAGGAGAAGAGAGTGTCCCTGTTCACATAGTACAAGTTACACGAGGCAGGCAGCGGGCAGCCAGTGATAGACCTTGGCACAGAGCTGGCGTCCAGACACAACAGTCGATTGAGCCACGCCTCCACCGGGTCCCCACTCGCGTACCTGATGGACTCCTTCAGCTCAACTTCGTGCAAAACTCGCCCTGAGAAAATAAGAAGAAAACACAGTCAAGTTTTACTGTGATTTTGGCACCTATGGAGAGTAAAAAGTCTTCTATAATTTGGCGAACATGAATGGGGAATGGAAACATCTAACAAACATTTGTTAACATTTGACAAATGGGTATGTAAACTCATGTTTTCCTATCGTTATCTTTGTGCAACTATTTTTTTAAAAACACACTTCAGAAAATATTTCTGTCCTAACAGAACTGCAAAGATACAGAATTGAACTACGCTCTGCAAGAATCAATCCAAGTCGCCATAGGTAACATATATCATGTATCTTTCTCTAACTTGCTCTTTCAAACAGGGATGTCAGAATGGAGGCTTCCTTTTCTTTTATGACCTAAATGAGTTGAAAAATGGCACAAAACTCAAACCACACACTCACCAGAGGCTGAGCTGTCCACTCCTTGCTTGGCCATGTTGGCAGCAAGCCTGGCCTCCTTCACGCTGCCCCCGTAGGTGGACACCTGCTGGCGGAGCTGCTGCACCAGTTTGAGGGACAGAGACCGGCCCGTGCCCTCGTAGCTGTGGACAGGAGAACATAATTTTATATGTCCTTCCAATGTTTATTCCTGTGTGTGCGTCTGTGTATTAGAGCTGGGTCACGAGCGCGAGAACGGAACTGAATCGCCACTCTTCCTGCAGAACGCGATTCGCGATTCACTTCAGCGGAACGCGGAACAGTATCGCCTTCCGATTCCCGATTCACTCCCTGTCGTTGTCGCCACCTTGTCGCTTGTTTGTAACCTACTGCTGGGCCACACGTCGAGTCACGAGCGCAAGAACGGAACACTTAGTATGGCTCCCTTTATTTTACAAAAGATGGCATAGTCCAAACTCCCTATTAAAACAAAATAAAAGGGTTCCAACCAACAGACAGAAGGAATTTTATGGAGCCATTGTTTTAGCGAAAGATCGCTAATTGAGGTTAGTAGAGCAGCACAACGAAGGATGGGGGGGGGGGGGGGGAGAGGAGGGGAAGAGGATGGCGGGGCAACAAGAGTGGGACTCGCGAAGTGGCGTTCATAAGACACTGTTCCATTTCACGCATACAACGAGCCCAACACTTAGTGTTCCACGAGCGCTCCCGTACTCCCAATTCTTTGAAGCCGACTGAATTGCGAATCGCCACTCTCAGATCTGGCGAGCAGGATCCAGCTCTATTGTGTACGGGAGAGTGTGTGTCGATGACTGCTTATGTGCAGTTTACCGTGCCATGGCAAATTTCCCTTTGTGGAGATCAATAAATTGTTCTCCAATTCTATCCAGTGTCAGATAAACTCATTACTGGCCACGTGTAATTGACAGGTTTACAGATCTTTTTCAAGGTGGCCATAACTAGACCTGCATGTGAGCCTCAACCAGATTGTCTGAAAATTTTGTGCAACTCCCCCCCCTCCCCCCCCCAAAAAAAAGCATTTGTGGGTGTCATAAGGAAGGACATCCGAGTAGCCAGCGACCACCCCAACAAACACAATAAAGAAGAGACCTAACCCTAACTCTACCCCCAAAAAGAACCTGCAACGGGCCTCATGTAAAAAGTCCAAAACAAGTCCTAAATGAAAAAAAAATAGATCTAGATCTAGATCTAATTAAAATACCACACTCCAAAGCCAAAACAAACAAGGAGCATAGATCTAGATCTATGGCTTACATCTGCATTGCTATAGGGTTTGATCTAGATCTAGATCTTGTAGAACAAGTGAATAGGAATAGGCCTTGAACTAGAAATCCGCATCCGATTCCGAACAGAGGGACTCAGTTGAGTCTAGATTCTAGATCTAGATCTAAATCTAGATCTAAATAAATAAATAATTCACGCACCTAATGAAATGCTTATTTTTACCAATATTAATATTACAGCACAACCTATGATAGGGTTTGACACAATAGAATTGGAATATGAATCCTCCATTGAGGTCTATAATGATCTATATAAATCTAGATCTAGATCTAGATTCTATTAGAACAAGAGAGTCGGACTTGAATGAATCCACACGATCTGAACAATTGAATTAGTCAACAAACGAAATTCGGCCGCTCGAGCACGAAACTGAAAGTAGATAATTTAGGTTGTCGTCCTTTTCCGTATTCGCATTTCTACTTAGGTTCCGACAATTATGTCGGAAACGCCGACGTCGGCAGTCGGCGGTGCGCGCGTCGGCGGTCAGCACGAAAACGAAAGTGCCGACGAAGCCGACGGGGAAAAAAGGGGTCGCTGGCAGTCGGCCAGGCCTCGCACTACGCACATTGACTGATACAGGTGGGCCTAGCGATAGCATCGGCCGGTTCGCGGGTCGGGTCGCGATTGTCGGATTTCAGACGATTGTCAGCAAACATGCAGGTCTACATAACCTAGGATCAGAAAAAAGTAACAGTTCTCCAACCTGTCAGGTCAGCCAAAACCTGGAACCAAACCAACTACGAAAGTCTATGCCAGGTGAGCACTGTACCTGTAGGCTAAAAAGCTCCAAACTTCACAATCATAAAATTAGTTTTCATAAAAGGACTGGTCCTACCCTGCTGACCTATCTGGAATCAGTGCTTCCACCAGCTGAAGCTGAAAAGTAAGGAAAATTCTGCTGGGGGTCTGGGTGCGGCCCCAGTAGGGTCCAGGGACAGAGTCCCGGCGGGGGTTCAGGGGGCGGGGGTTCAGGGGGCGGAGCCCCCGAAGAAATTGAAATTTAGTACTTTTAGAGGGTTGAAAATGGCATTTGGGAGCCTGTTTGAAGAGATTGCCAACAACCCATACTACCTATTTTTTCACCCAGATTTTGTCTTCTTTAATTTCTTCACCAATATATCTTTCCATTGCTGGCAATGTTTAAAAGCAGGTTCCCCTTCCATTGCTACTATAATTCAATTAATTTGTCATCGCACCTTTGATACTGACAGAAGGCAAACCTGGGAATAATGAATAGATATATGTAGGCCATACCTTCACAATACAGTTACCAGACCTGCCATTCTATGAAGCCTCAAAATTAGGATCTCAGGGAGAGAAAAATCGGGATTTGGTGAAAAAAATCGGGATCAACAGCAAATCACCAAGGTGACTGCCAAAGCTGACTTTTAAATTTTCCATGGGTGTCCATAAATTACTCGGCCTATATGCTCTCTGTGTGTCTTTGCGTGCGTGTTATAATTATTTTTTGTAAATCCTGAAGCATCACGTTAAGCACTCCTAGTCCAAAAGTCTCTACCCTTCCCCCCCCCCCCCCCCCCCCAACCAATAAGTCCCGAAATACATGAACTTAGGTTGACCCCGTCAACGGACGGTCCCAGACACGCAGAACTCACACGGAGATGTCATGTCACGTGATGCGTATGCGCGATTGAAACAATTTTACTAACAGGTCCGACTAACTGCACGTTCAAACAAAATATTCGGATGAGAAACAGTCATTCTACTTCTAGGATAACGACGGGGGCCGACCGACCAAATGTACCAACAAATCTCTTATCCCTCATAATGTGTTCAGACTAAAGCAACGACAACGGCCGTATCTTAGTCTTGCCAGCGCAGTTTACATGTAGTTGTGTAAGGGTTAGAACGACTGTCGCTCGTCCGAATCTTCGCAATGATAATTTCTCTAGATCTAGAATCTAGACAATAAATTTGCAAAAAAAATTCTTTCTGACAGTAATTTTCTGTCTTAGATCACATGTCAATATACTTGATCAACGCACAGATTCTTCCAGCCGCGGCAACAATCCGAAGATAGACAGACGGAATGAGGGAATGGTAGAAAGGAGGAAAGTGGCACAAAAAGTTCGCCAGATTTTGATCAATCTGCAGGTAAAAAAAGTACTGCCGATAAGCCTGCAATGAATGCATGGGGCAGAGTAGAATAATGGCCGATTGCAGGAAATGCGCAATCTGGCAGGTTTCTATAGCATAAACTATTGCCGAGAGAATTACCGTAAATATCCGTAACTTATACAAGACATACGAAGGCGAGTACGGATCTTTTTTTACGGAATTTCGGTAGTCCTACGCTGTCGCAGATTTTTACGGAGGGAGTTGATGATGATGGAGGAACAAGTACGGAAGTAGCAGAAAGTACGGATTTCCGTAAAAATACGGAAGAGTGGAAGCACTGTGGAATGAGTTCTTGAATTTTCAATATTAGTAATTAGTAACAACAATTTCATGGACAGCAGCCCTCACTACATAGACATCCACATCCCAGCTCAGCGAGACCCCCTTGGTACTCACCCGTTGACTGTTGAGGACATGAACACCAAATATGGACCCAGCAAATTTTTCACCAGAGGCAAAGGGATGGCGGCGGCTTCGTCAATACACACCAGCTCAGCCTGGCCAAGTTTGTGAGCGTCTGACGGGTGAATATACTGCAAGGGAATCATATAAAAGAGTTTTGATAGCCGAATCACACTGACTATCATTTTTGCTAGGCAAACTGCTAATGCATGTCTTTATATATACATTAAAAATACTTATCAGACCTGCATGTGAGCCTCAACCAGATTGTCTGAAGATTTAGCGCGACCCCCCCCCCCCCTTTTGTGGGTGTCATAAGGAAAGATTTCCGAGTAACGAGCGACCACCCCAACAACCACAATAAAGAAGAGACCTAACCCTAACCCTACCCCTAGGCCTATCCTAAAAAAGAACCTGCAACGGCCTCATGTAAAAAGGCCAGCACAAGTCCAAAATGAAAAAATAAAAAAAACACACTCCAAAACAAACAAGGAGCATAATATGGCCTACATCTACATTGCTATAATATAATAATAGGGTTTGATACAATAACACAATAGAACTGGAATATGAATCCTCCATACAGATCTAGATCTAGTAATCTAAATAAATCTAGATCTAGATCTTGTAGAACAAGTGAATAGGAATAGGCCTTGAACTAGATCTAGAAATCTGCATCCGATTCCGAACAGAAGGACTCAGCTGAGTCTAGATAGATTCTAAATAAATAAATAATTCACGCACCTGATGAAATGCTTTTACCAACATTAATACAGCACAACCTATGATAGGGTTAGACACAATAGAATTGAAAATGGTGAAATGGTATGAGTTTAACGTCCCTATCAACACTATTAGGTTATTTAAGAGGCGGGACCTCCTAATTTAACGTCCGTCTCCGATAGGACCGAGCCAAGTGGGAAGTTAGTGTAAAGTGCCTTTCCCAAGGACACAACGTCGGACCGAGCTGAGGCTCGAACCCCCGAACTCGCAATCTCACGATTACGAGTCCAGTAGCCTAACCACTAGGCTACCGACGCCACTACACTAGAATTGGAATATGAATCCTCCATTGAGATCTATAATGATCTATTAATCTAGATCTAGATTCTATTAGAACAGGTGAGTCGGACTTGAATGAATCCACCTGATCTGAAAGATGAATTAGTCAACAAACGAAATTCAAAATGGCCGCTCGAGCACGAAACTGAAAGTAGATAATTTAGGTTGTCGTCCTTTTTCGTATTCGCATTTCTACTCAGGTTCCGACAATTATGTCGGAAACGCCGACGTCTGCAGTCGCGGTCGACACGAAAACGAAAGTGCCGACAAAGCCGACGGGAGAAAAAGGGGGCGCTGGCAGTCGGCCAGGCCTCGCACTACACACATTGACTAAAACAGGTGGGCCTAGCGATAGCATCAGCTGGCTCGCGAGTCAGGTCACGATTGTCGGATTTCAGACGATTGTCGGCAAACATGCAGGTCTAACTTATGTATTTGCAGGAATTGTCCATATCCGTGAAATATTCAAATATTCAACATGCCGTAAGAAAAAGCATATTCATAGAGACAAAAAAATGAAAAAAAAAATATATCTGAATCAGAAAACCTCAATAAAATCTAGAAACGAAAAGTGAGATCACCTGTATGGTCTGCCTGTGGTCACGGAAAATGTTCACTCTGACGACAGCCTTGTTGAAGTCAGGATTCGTCGACTGAATGATCTCGTAGTCAATGTGTTCCTGAACAAGTAATAAAGGTAAAACAGGTTATTGAAAACCTCTGGAAAATAAAAGAACAGGAGTTATTCATACCTATTTTCATAAAATGTAATTTCTTACAGGCAAACAGAAGTTCAAAGGCACTAACAATTATAAAGCGTAACGTACCTTTCCTTGGGACACAACATTTTATTAAACTGAGCCAGAAATCAAACTTACAACTTTTTAATTGCAAGTATTTGACCTCTCAACCAGGGCATATCCATTATTAAATAAAACATTGTCACAGTTTAAATTGAAATATACCATCAAAGGGTACGGAATTTTTGTCAACAGACAAATGAAGCACACAGCCCCAGAGAGCACATAACGTACCTGATAGTCTAAAGCATCAAAACCTTTGAAGATGAAATCAAACAGAGTCTTCAAGTTCTCAGGACTAGGTGCCGTGACAAATATGTTGGAGTATCTAAAGACAGGGAAAAAAATGATATCATTGAAATCCAGATTACCATTCATTCTTGAATCTACATTTCAAACGTGATAGATCAGACTCAGGTTATTTCTGGGAAGCTATCCATTCAAATAATCAATATATTGTACATTACTACCTTCATCAAGCATTGGATCAGGTACATGCTGTTAAGACCAGATACTCAGATAGGTCACAAACTTATGTCAGCCATTCTGGACTGTAGCATTACACACAAATGTGTAATATATTTAACTCTTTCCGGACGTATCGCCGATATATCGGCGCAAGTTCACACCCCTTGCCGATGTATCGTCGATATATCGCCTGTGATAGGGTGCCTCAGTATTGTTTAGTTTTAACACAAACCGTCATTTATAATTACTTTTTATTGTTATTGAAAAACTCAGAAAGGATTTAGGAAACGAAAACATCTAGTTTCACTTTGTCAAAGCGTGGGTTTGGGGAAAAACGAGTGAATTAGTTCTTGTGGTCTTGCATCAACAAACCGATGTAACCGGACTCAGTATAAATATCATAACTCAAACAAAAATTGGAATATTGTTTTCAAATAAAAAACTGCGCATTCAGAAATTTATGGATTACGCTCTTGGCCTGTATATGATAAGAAAGCTCTGCTGATTTGCTTTCACATGTTTGGTGAAAGTAATTTTTTCAGTCAAAATATATTTTTCTCATTACCATCGCCATTTCTAACCCTTGTAATGCATACTTAAGTTCTAAATTGTTTCATACTGGGATGTATTCCTCATTCAATTTCCTTCAATTTGATAAATCATATTTTACGTTTTGAGTGATGGTTATGCTTCTATGAAGTCATTTTGTGCAACACTTGCATAGCCAAATCGAGCCACAAGTTAATTATGTCGAGACCAAAAAAAAACTATGTCCGGAAAGAGTTAATATTATTGTTGATAATGAGCAAGCACATCTTATGCTGAGCCTAACTGTGACAGAACGCCAGCAGAAGTGTTTGACAACGCTTAAATAATAACATGTAAAAGCTTTCCTGAGGGAGAGCAACTCTTCAGTTCTATCAAAAAGCTTACACAGTTCATAATCCCCACTTTCATTCTACAATGTTTACAACAAAGCTTGAGTCGAGGACTTCAACCAAATCACCATCATTAAGGGCCAAATCTGCGACAGACACTGGTGATCATGTTTCTCCAATCATTCCGTTGCTCAGATGTTCTTTAAAAAGCTACACTATTCTAACCAAATAATAACAGATTAAAGAAAAAAAATTTACTTTAATAAAAAGCCCTAATCAAATGTTAAACCACACCAAACACGGATTTACCCAAAGCCCACAGAAGCAGACATGGCCAGTCCCAGGGCTGCTGACTTGCCGCGACCTCTCGCTGCTGTCATGACCACCGTACTGCGTAGTGTCTTCTCCACAATGGCGTCCACAAACTTGAGAAAGCCTTGACCCTGGGTTCAAGAACAACAAAACCAACTCTACACAAAAGCAAGGGCTTCTGATACATCATCCATTTTGTAAAACCTAGACTAAAAACCTAGGGATAAAAGCAGGTGTGCTTTTTTTCCAAGACTCAATGGACTTTTGATACATAATCCATATTGTAAAACCCAGAACAAAACAACAACAAAAAATACACCCGCTTTTATCGCTTATGGCAGACCAGAACCAACTGTCAGTTATTCACATTTCAATGACATAACATAATGCACTGACAGCATATATATGACAATCATCACAACACTGCTACTTTCATTCCCACCCCTTTGCCTCCCTTAGAACATATCTTTATGTGATCTGTTTTTGTTTGGGTTTTTTTTTGTAAAAAGAGAAGAATAAGAAGAAAAGAGAAAGGGGAAAAAACCTGATGAATCTCATCGACTTGAAGTATTATTCCACAGCACAGACACAAAACTAGAGCAGTAGGGGTAACACAAGCACTACACTGCAAATGTATTATTTAAAGTTACAAGAAGCTTAGTGACTTGATTTATTTGCACAAACATGTTGAGCAAGCCATACTGTACTTGGGATTCTTATAAGTAATCTTACTGGAAAAACAACAACAACAACAACCAAAAAAACCAACTGACCCACCCCACTACAAGTATCTGATATAATAAAGACATTAATCACAAAATCACACATATAAACGATGCCAACCTAACAACAGTAATTACCCCCCCACAACCACCAACACCAATCAACACAACGCACACTTGAAAAAAAAAAAGAAAAGAAAAGAAGCTCACCTGATCAAGGGTTCGGCACAACTTGATTATTTTCCCTGTGGTCACATCCATGTCCTGGATTGATGTCTTCAGTTCCTCCAGTTCTATCTCCTGAGCTGTCAAGTTCTCCTCCTGCAAGGAAAAATTTGGTGGAGAGAAAGAAACATTTTTAAAAAATAGATGGCAATTTATTTTCACAAGGAAATCTTAGTTACAATTCCATACAAAACATAATGAATACCTAAATTCTTAAGTTTAAAAAACATAACTCCACACAGCTTTCAATGTGTGCTAGGTGTGTTGCGCGGTATGACTTTTACATCCCTTTCAACAATGAAAGGTAATTTAATGGGTGGGAGCTTTGATTTGATGCTCATCTCTGATTTGGAAAAAGCCAGGTGTGTCGAGAGTTTTAAAACCCAACAAGAACAACACAGTGACTCACCCAAGGTCATCCGCATCATAGTCCAGCATGGTCATAACTGAGCTTAAAGTATACCCAGTCCCGGTTGCAAAATTTCGCTTACATCAGTGTGAAAAATTGATGAGACTGAGTCTTTCAATGAGGAACTTCAAGGGTAAAACAAAGCAAAAAAGGAACTAAAACATGAGATGAAGCTGTTTCTATCCAAAAGATAGCTAGTTGTTGGAATACTGATGATTTTTTAAAAAGGGGATACAGAACAGCAATGCAGAAAAAGCTAAAGATGTTATCTGGAAAGAAATTCTCAGGAAAGGGGGAGGAGGTAATTTCAGCAAAACCATTCTATCTCTAATTCTGACTACTGCAGCACCAGCGAGAGACCTACCAAAGACTTAGCAGGCAGTGGCTCCAGAGCGAGGGCATGGGTCGACACAGGGATCAAGTTGAGCTTGTCGTCCAGCACCACACAAGTTTCACATGAAGCCAGAGACAGTAGAAATCTGAGAGAATCAGACAAACAAAAATCAAGCAGCCATTTTGTATTTTTCTGCAAGTTTAAACCCACAAGACACAAATAGGTTACTTTTAAAATAACCCCCATACTGTGAAATCATTTCAGAGTGACAGATTAAGCACAGTGAGCCAAGAATCTTCAAACATCTTGAGTCTTGCACTGTAGAATTATATGCAAAACATTTTTTTTTACTACTACTGATTCAGAAACATCTGTACTTTTAAAAAAAAGTTCACATGCATCCAACTAGATTTCATTTTCCTTTGCTTTCTAAGATAAATAATGAAATGCAATTTTTTACTTGCTAATTAACTTAACTGCCATAAAACTCTGACGTTGCACAGAATGTTACCTCTCATTGAATCTACCAACAACATCTTGGTGGGCCTCTGTGCGAAATCGAAGGTGGACATCCTAAAAAGAAAAAAAGATGACAGTTCCATAATACCACTTTTGAGTAATAAACTAGAACAGCTGGCAGTTCATATAGGAAATTAAACGTTGTTCATCCCCACATTCACAGATGCTCAGATCACATTAACAATATTTAATATATTCAATATCAAATATGTAATCTGTAACATATAACATCCTGTGGGTTGATCACAGTAAAGATACATGATCAGTTGTCTATGTTCATGAAGTACAAAAAAAAACACACAAAAAAAGCACCAAAAAAAGCACAAGCTTTTCCTCAGCTTTGTGTCTTGTTCATTCCCAGACTCCAGACATGGGACTGGCCAATACATTCTTAAAGCAAAAAGATATGATATTAAAACTTTTCTACCGGACATTTTAACAGTATAACATTATGTTACTAATAGAAATCTACAATTTCTCCTTTCAGTGTAATTCAGTTTCAGGGGGGAAACATGTTTAAGTCTGACTACTTTGAAAAGCTTACCATTGTCATAGTGTAGAGCTGTTTCAGCGAAGACATGGTCCTCAATAACAGCACTATCACACCACCCCCTTCAACTGTCTCCACTGTACGGGCAAGAAGATTTGGTGTCAAAGCTTCAAAATCCTAAAGGAAAGAGATTATGAACAACATTAAATGTATAAGCATGGCTAAAAAAGTTAATAATATAACTATCCCGTTTGGGAAAAAAGTATGTTAAAAATGAATGAAAAAGATACCAAATGAAACCTTTTGATCCTGAATTAATGATAATGTGCATCAAAAGAATGACACATGAAATTGTAGTCTTTCTGTGATCTCTTAGGTAACATTTTTTAACCTAAAAAAACATTTTAGGCCAATAAATACACCATCATCACATCAAAGATTCATATACTTCTGATGATAGAAAAGGGTGACAGTAAGCAGCCAAAGTGAAGGTAATTTGAACTGAAAAAAGAAAGAAAACAAGTTGAGTTGGTGTTCAAGGCAAGTTAGAAAAATGAGGGGAAAAAATCAGGCTGTTTGATTTTCTGAAGAGCACATACAATTCAAACCCCTGAGTTTGGTGAAAAAAACTCGCACCTGAAGTACACACATGCCATATGTGTTGCCCAGAATTTTGTGAGTCTCTGCATAGTAGCAATATCTGATGGAAGTCGATGAGATAAACAGCTCAAAGGGATCGTCTTCTTTAGCACTCAGTTTGCCACTGTTGATCTTTTTTTGCAACTCCTTCATACGTTTTTTGCGATGGCTGTAGGGAAAATAAAATGAAAATGAAATAATAATACAGCTCAAAAGAAGGACACAAGTTCTTAGTTGAGTTTCGTGAGAGTTTTACGGCGCTTGCAACACAAATAGGTCGTTTATTTTAGTGAAGATTACAGGAGTAACTATTAATCGAATATGATACAAATAAAGAAGTAGGAGAGATAAAGACAACAGATGTTTGATATAAGAAAAAAAAGGAGCAAACCACACCAGAGCACCCCCCAACCAACCACAACACCAGTTCTTAGAATCTCACATTTTTTAGTAACCGAACCTCATAACACAGGATACTTGAACAGGACTCAAATTGCTACACACACATATTATTTTCTCTTCAGAGCAGAGTGCAATCTCCCATCACTTTTCATGCAATTTCAATCACATCCAAAATCAATTTGTATCTTCAGTCTTGGCGTCTTGGGTAGAAATTAATTTTAAACTCAGTCCCTGCAGCTATCCCGTACAGGCCTGATCTATGTCACAAGCTTTCCGTTGGTATTTGAAATTTTACATTATATGAAATTCATCATCATATATGGTCGCTTTCAAGCACAAGGGGGCTATCCCGAAAAATGCTGTTTTGAGAAAATCGAAATTAAAGTTTTTGAATCCTTATTCAGTTTCTTTAAATACCAGGAGAATTTTCTCTCTATAACCAAACAAAAATACACACCAATGAAATCAAACTTCTCCTGAGGTAGGGCAAGGCCCACTTTTGGTGTATGTCCAGATTTCTGGAAACCCCCCCGAAATCTGGGTTAGCCCGCTTGTCCTTAAAAGCAACCATATATATATAATGACTTGCTTTGATTTAACACATCAAGGTGAAGCTGTAAACTACATCCTCAATACTGGATAAACTGTACAGAAATCAAAAGAGAGGGAGCCAACCTTGAGAATCCAAGTTCTTTCTTGTAGCACCACAAAACTGAGGGTCGAGCTTTGAGTGTGGCTTTAGTCAACATGTGATGCAAAATAACCACCTGCAAAAGCAAAAGGCAATATCATTATAATGCCAAAAATGACAAAAAATAGTAGCCTAAAATAAAGTAAAAGTAAAAGCTTCAATAAATTTAATGAATTAACTAGAGAACTGATATAATATATTTATTCCAAATAAAATATGGAAGAGGCTAGCCATACTTTTAGGGAGTGTATACAGACCCGGTAACCGGGAACAAAGTCATGAAGTATACGGACCCGGTAGGGGAAATCTTTTGTGATTTCGGAAAGTTTCAGCGACCTCTTGACCCAGGGTAGACTTGGGTTCTTCTAGATCTATGGCCTAGATCTAGATCTAACAGTTAGCAGACAGACAGACATAAATCATAGATCTAGTTTCGAGGCCTAGATCTAAATGAAGATAGCTTTTCGATGAACGCATTATAAAGCCCAAGTTGACAGGACGGAATGAGAGAAAGATAGAGTGGGAAAACGAAGTGGCCAGCCGTACTTAGATCTAGGTTTGGCCCTATCGACTCAAACCTGTTAAGTACACCGGTCTCATTAGATCTAGAATCTAGGTCTAGTATTACTAGTAATTATTCAGGTTCAAATACATGCAAGTCAGTAAGGCACCTTTTGGTTTTGTCTGAAATACAAATACTTTAGGCATTGCAAACTAAAAATTTCATTTACAATTCAGCCATTAATATTAAGTACTGCTAGCCTGACAGTCTAGCCGTTCTTAAGTACGGCTAGCCTGGCTGTCTACCCGTACTCAAGTACGGCTAGCCAAGAAGTCTAGCCGTACTTAAGTACTGCCAGTCTAGCCGTACTTATCTTAGGCCCTATTAACATTAGAAAACAGGAGGTTTAAAATACAAGCACTGTCATTAAGTCATAAGGCACCTGGTTTCGTCTCAAATACAAATACTTTAGATACTGCAAACTAAAAATTTATATTTACAATTCAGTAGGCCTATTTTTTTTAAGGTAGTGTCAATTGCCACAGAGTGACGCGGTGGCAATTGACAAAAATTGACTTTTTTGTCAATTGCCACCGAGTAAATTGGGGCTCTTTTGCGTTGGTGGGTAGATCTAGCTTACTGTGCTCGAGTGCTCAGTGTTGTGCGTTTGCCTCTCTGTCCCTCTGTGTGCAGAGCTGGTAGTAACGGAGTACAAGTACTCCGGTACTTGTACTTACATTACAATTTTCGGTACTTTTACTGTACTCCGGTACATTTTTTAAACCAGTACTTTTACTGTACTCCGATACTTTTTATAAAAGTACTTTTGAGTACTTTTTAAGTACATTTTGAGTACTTTGGTAGCTTAATGGAAGGGTAAGTGCAGGCATTTCTGATCATAATTTACGGAGCAAAAACCCGATCAACCGCCAAGAGTTAAAAGTTGAGATCAAAGAACGGCCCGTCGCCTCAAAGATCAGCCACTATCGTGAATGTGATCACAAGCGTTGTAAAACTCCATGAAACGGTACAGTGTTTGCTCCAGACGGGATCACACCGAGGTGTGAACTGACCGATGCGTTTCTTTTCTCCAAACATCGCACTCGCATCTGAGCTCGCCACCTAAACTTACATCACTCCCTGGGTGGGTAGGGCCTACAAGTTCGCTCCGGGCGGGATCACATCAAACTGTGAACTCTTCCCTGACCATTGAAAGCAGTTTTTCCGGAATTTGCGAGACAACCTGAATTTTAATTAGTGTGGTCACATCGTAATGGTGCGTAATGACAAAGGAGGTTGGGGGGGGGGGGGGGGGGCAATCAGAGATGGAAAGCTAAAATTGTTGGACAGGTAAAGGGGAGGGGCAACTGGATAAACGTAGATAAAGATCTCAAGACTCACGATAGGCTAATGAGTGTGTATATATATAATATTATTTATGGCATGCCTCATGCCACAGTGATTGGTAATCAAGGTTGACCACTCTTTGCTTGCCATATGTCATAAATCCACCCAGGGGTCACGTCAGTTCATGGGTCACTGTAGATTCTTCCTTGGCTTCGTTGGCTAAGATCCCATATTTTCCTTGCTTCTGAGCACTGGGATCTTAGGCGGAGACTTCTGCAGTAGAGAATCTTTGGTTACACTACACTTACTAGACTCTAGGAAACTATTGTATTTTGGTTTGCCGTGGGCAGTGTGACCAAAATCTGTAAGACCACTATAATCAATTGAAGCTGAAACTGTGTTCTCAATGTGTATCTAACAATTTTTAGGCTGCCTAAATTTCTTTTAAACTTTTTTTGGGTGGTTTTTGCTTAAGGCTACATTGATTCCTTGAGGATTTGTTAATGAAGAATTCAATGCACTTTTCCATTTCTATGCGGGCCATTTTCATCAATTTTATGTTTTCTTAAGAGCAACTTTGTATCTACATTTTTCAATTTGGATACTCTTTCTGTAGAACTTTCCGACCCCTAGGACTGACTTACATTTGATCACATTGTCTTGCTCAAACAAGTTCTATTCATAATATCACTTACCCACTAGTTGCGTCTGTTCGTTTGGGTTGTTTTTTGTTCAACTTCACGGACCATTTCCACCGTTCAGTGCGTATATTGTACATTCAAATGCTTTGTATATTGTTTACATTTTTAGTAATAAATAGCCTAATTTGTCAAATATACTGGATAAGTTATAAAATATGATGTTTTGCATAAGCGCTGAAGTGTTTTAGCATATTAGCAGAAAGTATTCAAAATGTACTCATAAGTACTTTTTTTTAAGTACTTGTACTCAAGTACATTTTATAGGAAAGTACTTTTACTGAACTTAAGTACATTTTTTAGATTGTACTTAAATTTGTACTTAAGTACTTTTTAAAAAGTACTTTAACAGCTCTGACTGTGTGTGTGTGTACTGTGTGTGTAGTGTGTGTGTGTGTGTTTTCCTGACCCCCGTCCCCCGATTTATGTTCCCCGATATAACATGAATTTCTGCTAGAGTTTGTTTGCGTTTGTGACCTTGTACTTCTAGAATTGCCTGTGCCGGTTCTACACCAAAGTGTAGGCTAAGGCTATCCTAGATCTAGGCGTACGTCACATTGAAAACACGCCAAGTTGGTACCGTAGTTCTAGACTAGATCTAGATTTTGCATGCTTGTCCAATGAAATTAGTTCAGAACAAATTGACCCATTAGACACACAATATGTATAATACTAAAGATAGTGTTTCACGTGGCAATTGACAAAAATTCACTCGGTGGCAATTGACGCTACCTTTTTTTAAATGGTCAGTCTAGCCATCATATTAACTTATTAAGTACGGCTAGCCCAGCTGTCTAGCCGTCATTAAGTACGGCTAGCCTCTTCCGTGGGAAAATATAGTCTAGTCATACTTAGATCTAACATGCGATTAAATGTAGAAAGACGCAAACTATTTTTAGGTAAGGCGCCCATCTTGTTTGATGTCAGACCAGGATATCCTCTGATCACGTGACTACATCTAAGTATAGCCAACCGCATGGCACCAAAGATGGAAGTGTCTATGTATATGATGCTTAATGTACACTTATATATAAATCTCTCGGAAGTTCTGATGGCTGAATAGACAGCGCGTCTGCGTTGGAAATCGTGTAATGATTTTTGGAGCGGTTCGATCCCGGTCAATTGGGTTTTTTTCTCTTCTCCTCCTCCCGATTGACCAACAGTCCCATAAATTATAATTTGTAGAGCTGCTTTGAAGTTTATTTTGTTGTTTTTTAATATAGATCTATTAGAGATTAAAAATGCAGGAGAGGGGGGCTAGATCTAGATTTAGATCCAATCCTCCAGCGTCTTTACGGCAATTTTCGTGCGGTTTATTGTCTTTGAGTTTACCGTGTTTCAATTTCAAGCATCTATCAGCGTTCTTAATCTTACTGTTCTGAGCATCAACGATCTAGAATCTAGATTCTACACTAGATCTAGGAAATCCGAAAGGTTACCGAAAACACGTCGTTTCATGTGGGTATCCAAGGAAGTGATGACATCACAAGTACTAAAATTAGCAGCCAATCAAAAAGATGCGTCTTTTCTACGTTTAACGGCATGTTTAGATCTAGGAGGGTGGCCATATTGACCGAAACTTGTTGAATACACAGGCACAGGTCTCATTAGATCTAGATTCTGGATCTAGATCTAGAATCTAGTAATTATTCAGGTTTAAAATACATGCATGTCAGTTCAGTAAGTGACAGATCTAGATATCTAGATCTAAATCTTAGCTAGATATAATCTAGATCTAGAATCTAGATCTAAATCTAGGAATAGATTTTTCTAGATATATATAGTATAGAAATCTAGGTGCTTTTTCGGTAGTTCCCACCCCCCTTATTTGAGCCTGACCTACTTCTAGATCTAGATCTATACGTTTGATTCGCGGTGAGCTAAGATATCAAACCTAACAACAGCAAACCATTAAATTGTGGTAAAATTCAGGGGGGCAAGCCCCCCTAAAACCCCCCTACCCTTGGGGCCAAAACCCATGAATAACAATTGCGGGGAGGTAACTACCGAAAAAGCGCCGAGATCTAGATCTAGATCTAGATTTAGATCTACATCTAGATGTAGATCAATTGCCGGTGATCTTATACTTTAGCACGTTAAATTCCCAAAGTCTACTCTACTAATCCCCTACTCAGACCTTCAAAACTTTGAACTGGGCCTAAAAATGTGTAAACTACCGTAATTTTGTCATGAATAGATCGTATAACAGTGGTTTTCAGTCTTCCATCATGATTTTGGAAGCCATTGAGTATAATCTTGATGACATAGAATTTTGATCCAGATCTGATAGTGGTCGCTCGTTTGGGAAGTCCTCAATGAAGAATTTAACGTGCTAAAGTATAAGATCACCGGCAATTGCCACTTCATGCATATCTAAATCTAATCTAGAATCTAGAAATCTATCTAGATATTAGATATAGATTTCAGATCTAGATCTAGATATCTAAATTTCTAGATCTATTATATATAGATCTATAGATGTATATATTCAATGCACAGTTGAGTAGACCTACCTGATCTTTGCCACGGTCGCCAACAAGCACAACCATCGAGCGATGTTTCTGCGCAACACCATTCTCGATCATCACTCTGATCCGATTGTCTATCTTTTTTCGAACCATTATTCCACTTAACTTTCACACTTTGTAAAAGTGAGGAAAACAATGTAACGAGTGACTACTGTACACAATTCCAAACACAACATGTAAAGGCGAAAGTGAAAGCGTTTCATGTGGGCCGACAGGAACAACAACACATGGCTCTCAGCCGTTCCCAGATTTTATACAGATGCTCGGCCACAGAATTCTGTGTGCTCGGCTTAACTCCGTCAACGACGAGCGCTTCCATTAGGACCAGAGAGGATTTACAGTAATACTAGAGAGATGGCACTCCGCCCGGATGCGCGTATCTGGGGCACCAGCTGATCGTGAAGAAACGCGCGGTAAACAAAACAAACTGCGTCTATTGTTCAAGGCATTTTGGTTGATCACAGACAAGCATGGTCCCGGTTAGCACGAAATGTCAATGGTGTTCTGCTATAAACCCTACCTATTAAAATCAAAATCTGAGTTTCTTTCGATTTCCAAAGGATGACGAATATATTTTGAGGAATAGAAAAATATTTATCAGAATAATGACAAAGTGATTGTGGTCCTACCAGACTGACACTCCAAGCACAAACTCAGCATACTTCATCTTTGTTACATCAGCTATAAATTGGGGGGTTATTTTCCTGTCTAAATGCCCAAATTGAGGTTGCATTCTACTAGTGAAAGATATGTTACCTGGGTCTGCAAAAAGTTGTCTAAATACAAAGTGTCATCGATCGGTTTTGCTACTTTCTTTGTCTTTTTTTTAGGGGGATGGGGTGGTGGATGGAAGGTGTTAGGGGTCCTATTAAACTCTTTAAGGGGTAGATCTATCATTATTGCTTCATGTGCTTTTCCATGATCTGAAATTGTGAGAATTTAATATAATATGTTTGTGTGTGTATGTGTGTGTGTGTGTGTGAGAGAGACAGACAGACAGACAGACAGACAGACAGACAGACAGACAGACAGACAGACAGACAGGCAGACAGACAGACAGACAGACAGACAGAGCGAGAGAGGAAGAGAGAGAGAGAAAGAGAGAAAGAGAGAGAGAGAGAGAGAGAGAGAGAGAGAGAGAGAGAGAGAGAAAGAGACAGACAGACAGACAGACAGACAGACAGTCAAACAGACAGACAAGTGACAAATAGACAAAGCGAGAGAAGGGGGAGAAGAAGAGACAGGGAGAGAGAAAAAGAGACAGACAGACAGATAACAGACAGACAGACAGACACACAGGTAGAGCGAGAGAGGGTGAAAAAGAGAAAGAGAGAAAGAAAGAAAGAGAGAAAGAAAGACAGAGAGAGAGAGAGAGAGAGAGAGAGAGAGGGAGAGAGACAGAGAGACAGAGGGAGAGAGAGACAGAGAGACAGAGAGAGACAGACAGACAGACAGACAGACAGACAGACAGACAGACAGACAGACAGACAGACAGACAGACAGACAGACAGACAGACAGAAACAGAGACATACAAAGAAACAGATTGACAGACAGACATATAGACAGAGTGAGAGAGGGGAGAAAGAGAGACAGAGAGAGAGAGAGAGAGAGAGAGAGAGAGAGAGAGAGAGAGAGAGAGAGAGAGAGAGAGAGAGAGAGAGAGAGAGAAAGGGAGAGAAAGACAGACAGACAGACCGACAGACGGACAGACAGACAGACAGGTAGACAGACAGGTAGACAGAGGGAAAGAGTTGGGGGGGGGGGGGGATAAAGAGAGACAGGGAGAGAGAAAAAAGAGACAGGGAGAGAAAAAAATTGACAGAGGGAGAAAGAGATTACAGAGGGACACTGGAGAACGAGTAGATTTGCTGTAAATTATACCGATTATTCCTTTAATTACGGGGACATTAATTTTTTTCAGATCTATAGAGACGAAGTAAAGATCTGCGTCTATTTGTTCATTAGAATGTATGTTAACTTAAGCAAAAAACAAGTCTTTCAGTTTATGGCCGAGGGAGGCAGGGGGCTGAAATAATAATATGCAATAGAATTCACAGGTCTCCTTCTTTGTTAAAGGCCTAGTAACTTAAGTGAACTAACTACAGACGGAACCACATTTTCTCCGGACAGGACAGCATCCCTGAGCATCGCCGTGGCAGCGATCACCGCGCGTAAGTGTTTTCGTGCCCCGCGTCGGGCGATACGCGAAACAATGCACTGTTGTTATGGAGCGCCGCCACGAGTGTCACCTCTCTCAATGTTAAAAACAATCAGGAAACGACAAATGCAGTTTTGGGGACACCTGAATAGATATAAGGGTCTTGAACATCTAGCTCTCACTGGCAAAATTGAGGGCAAGCGAGGCAGGGGTAGGCCCAGAACAACATACTTAGGGAACATGAACAAATGGGTAACAGGGATCAAGGTCAGGGAAACGTAGCTTTTTTGAGAGCATCCGAGCAAAGGAATGAATGGGAAACCATGATCGCCGATGTCTGTCGCAGATCTGGCACTGGATAATGAATCATATTATTATGCGAATTTGTCCCATGAGTATGTTTGAAATAATCAAGTAGGCTAGCATATGGCATAGTAATAGTAGTAGTAGTAGTAGTAGTAGTAGTAGTAGTAGTAGTAGTAGTAGTAGTATTGTTATTATTGTTTTTGTTATTATTTCTATCATTGTTGTTGTTGTTGTTGTTGTTGTTGTTGGATAAAGTTGAAATGACTACCGTTTATATCACTGTTCATTTAATATTATTTATACATTTGACTGTGAGCCTGTTTGAGGACCTAATTAATATATTATTAAGGTTATGTGCACATATGTGTGTAGAAGAGAGGATGTGTGAGGGAAGAGTGTGCACATATCACTGTGCGTACGAATTCGTGAGTGAACATGTGTGTGTGTGTGTGTGTGTGTGTGTGTGTGTGTGTGTGTGTGTGTGTGTGTGTGTGTGTGCACGCGTGCGTTCATAGTGAAACACCAAACCAATGTGCCAGGATCTGGACAATGATGTACCTTATTTTTTCTAATCTTAAATTACATTCGAGATTTAAGAGAGTGCGATTTACGACAGAGCTGACATGAGAGAAGGTTTCAGGTAAGTATAAGGAATATCTTGCAAGGATAAGATGCTATAAGGGAAATGTGGGGAGCTTAATATATTTTATTGTTTGTATGGTTAGCTTATTTGTCAAGACAGCGGTCCATTATTGCACATTATTATTAGGCCCATAGCTAGGCCTATAGGGCGTCCGAAAAAAAAAAATGTCTGGGCTCGTGCCTGCACAACTGTATACCAGTTGTCAAGACCGTAAAAAGTGCTAAATTTAGTCATCTACAAACACACCTGGACACAATTGAACTGCAACATACCTATTGCATTCATTATTGAATACTATCCAGTGTAATTTTTTGAACTGCTAGTTTACTGTGCGCTGTGTATTGAAAATTAAATATCAGAGCTGACGGAGTTTACAGTTCACACGATATCACGTAATCACAGAGAAACGCATATATATTTCCTTTTGACGTTTGTAAAATAAAGAAGGCCTGGCAACAGCTGTTGGAGCGTTGGTAAAGCAGAAATGTTATTTTCAGAACACTTGCCACTTAAGTTTTTTAAATACTGGATATCGGAAAGAGTCTGTAGCCTATTCTGTAGTGTCAGTAAATAAAAATGCGATCGACCTCTCACCCCTGGTGAGACTAGCCAGCGTTGGCTACTCTCACCCGTTGAAGTCAATAAGACCTGCCAGTCTAGCCGTACTTTGATCTAGGTTTGGCCCTATCGACTCAAGCTTGTTAAGTAAACAGGTCTCATTAGATCTAGATCTAGATCTAGTAATTATTCAGGTTCAAATACATGCAAGCCGTACTTATCTTAGGCCCTATTAACATTAGAAAACAGGTTTAAAATACATGCACTGTCATTAAGGATTAAGGCACCTGATTTCGTCTCAAATACACAAATACTTTAGGTACTGAACACTAAAAATGTATATTTTTACAATTCAGTAGGCCTTCTATTTTTTGTAAATGGTCAGTCTAGCCATCAATGCCATCATATTAAGAATAAGTACGGCTAGACTGCGAGTCTAGCCGTACTTAAGTACGGCTAGACTGTCAGTCTAGCTGTCTTTAAGTACGGCTAGCCTCTTCCTTTTTCTAATTTCGGAATACTGTCTTCTATCGGTGTGGATGATCAAATTGACAGACCAGACCATCAATGATTTATTTATAGAGGCACCAGCCATCCATGTCCAGGTGCTGTTTTAGCCTCTTTTTCCTGTATTCGGATTAATAATATCTTTTTGCCAATTTATTGGTTCCGCTTCTTACTATGTAACCCCATATCTATGGTTCTCAATCTGGAAATCGCCTATAATTCGCTGTAATTGTCTCCCCCCCTCCCCCACTCCCTCTCATCACCCCACCCCCCCCTCATAGTGTCATCATTTATGTTAACGTCTATTTTTTTATCGATAACACGTTTATGGATTAAGGGGGCAGTATTAATGATAATTAAGAAAAAAACAAAACCCCATCAATTAAATAATAAATAAATAAATACATAAATAATTAATAAATAAATAATGCTAATGATTATCATAATACAAATATTGATAATGAGAAGAAGAAGAAGAAGAAGAAGAAGAAGAAGCACGGCCATAACATCAATATAATACAGAAGCAAAGAAAAAATGACGTTATAGCTCAAAAGTAAGCTAATTTGATCGTCTACTAAGATGCTAGATCTAGATCTAATGGCTATTTTTACTTTTCGAATCAAGCTGAACTACGCGGGTCTCCGTTTTGTTTTGCCTGGAAGTTCTGGCAAGATGTACTCCTCCTCCTTCTCTCTCTCTCTCTCTCTCTCTCTCTCTCTCTCTCTCTCTCTCTCTCTCTGTCTCTTTCTGAATACTGTCTATCGGTGTGGACGATCAAATTGATAAAAAACAAAGTTAAAAAATGATGTTAAAACACAAAAGTAAATTAATTTGGTCGTCTTCAAAGATGCTACGGCTGTTTTACTTTTCGAATCGAGCCGAACTACATGGGTCGTCATTTTGTTTTGCCCGGAAGTTCTCGCGCTACTCCCATAGACTCTCTCTAGGCTAGGGGGCTCTCGTGGCCTAGAGGTTTTAAGGTGTTGGCCTCTCATTCAAAGGTCCCGGATTCGAATTCGGATAGCGACCGAAAAATTTTCTTCTCTAAAGTTGTCTCCTTTCACTTCCTTTCCTGCTCTCTAGCAATGTACTGTTGTCTGCTTTCATTTCCACTTTCTCCCCTCATCCCCTCACCTCCTTTGCCCACTCCTCTGGGCTCCCGACTCTTTCTGCAGCCTTTCTAGTGCTACTCATTGGCTCCTCCTTACTGCTGTCTTTCTGCCACACCCCTGATCTTCTGGTAGGAAAGATCTACACCTAGCCTTCTCGGACAAGGGCAAAAAATCTCGGAGGGCCCGTGTGCACATTGCGCACGTTAAAGATCCCTTGGTGGTCTAAAATCGATAAGAGTAGGCTTCGGTCGCCACCCGGGCAAAATTCAAAATTTCCTACCAACTGAAAATATAAGGTGTGTCCCGCGCGCTCATATGACCTTATGCAGTTGCGAGCGCCGTAAAACACTTTACAAAAACAAACAAACAATAGACTCACTCCCTCTCTCTCTCCCTCTCCCTCTCTCTCTCCCTCTCTCTCTCCCTCTCTTTCTCTCTCTCTCTCTCTCTCTCTCTCTCTCTCTCTCTTTCTTTCTCTTTCGCTGCCCACAGACAAAAGTGCACGCTTTCAACACAAGAGTGCTGGAACGTTTGTTCGTGTCACAGAACAATATTCTACATTTCTGTTCGCAGTTGTTCACAGCAGGGGCGAAGCGTTTATATAATCAAATAATCACTGCTTCCCTTTCTAATTTTGAAACATTGTCGCTGTCAAATTCACCTATATAAACGTAAACCTCATAAATTAAATGTTTAAAGACGTTCATAATCAACAATGAACAGTATGCCTAACATTCAAAAATGTTTCACTGCCACAGAAATAGCCTGCTCACCCCTCTCGGGCCACTCCATAAGCAGTCACAAGCTTTGATTAAGTAAGCTTAAAGTGAGGCTGGAAGAGTCTACCAATAGAGTTGAAGGGAACATGTGCATAGCAGTCAAAACTGTTTCATTGCCACAAATACCCTATTCACCCCTTTGGGGCCACAGTTATATTATATAAGCAATCACAAACTCTGATTATGTAAGCTAACTATTACACTGGTCGAGTGTACCTCACAAATGTGAGGGGAACTAACTCCTAACAATCTCTTGACTGTTGCAAGTGCTTGCTTTTTTTTCCTTTACTTTTTACCGTCCTATAATCAGATTGTGACCTCGATTGTGACACCGCCTCCTGGCCGCGAAAGGCTAGACAAAAACAGCCTAATGTGAAATTTTAACTCATTCGCTACGCCGAGCCGTGGGGGCGGCGCGGCTCAAGTGCCGTCAGCACGCTAAGCCGCCCCCGGCGGCTCGAGAACCGACGTTCAATTTTAGCTTGGTTTTTATTCCAATCCACATATCCATGTTAAAATAAAGGTCATAATATAATGTTGACTTCCGGGTCAAGCGTTTCCACAGAAAATCAGAAGTTTTGAAACATGATTTCGTAGTTTATTCGACTTTGTTTTATCGCGAAGCCCAAATTATAGCCAGACACCAGTTTTAGTACTTTTACACAACAAAATGTATCATTATTTTGCTCACTAAAGAAGTGTAGGACTCTTCTTTATAATATTGATACTATTGGACGCAAATTGCCGGTGCACTGTAATTGAGAAATCAATATTTTTGAGTGCTAGATCTAGGCCTAGATCTAAATAGTCAAAATATTTTTTTCTCCCCAAAATCACTACTTTTGGGTGAAATTAATCAAAAAGTACCACTCAAGACATGTATAGGTTTATTCCAAATGCAATTCTGAATAATTCCATGTTACGCACATTTTTTTTCTGTTTGTGATCCTTTTTTCAAAATTATTTTTAAAAAATCTTTTTTTTCAATATATTGGATGTTATGATCCAAATTTTTCAAATATATTATGGAATGTATGTATGTAAATAACTGCACATTTTTCAATATTTTCCTGTTCTATATACAGTTATGGTTATTTTGAGGTATCATTTGACTAGGTGCAAACATATTTTTTTAGTTTCACCTGAGATTATAAATTTTTTATTTTCCAATTTTATCCGCATCCAATCACAATTGTGTTGCATAATCGCCTCTTACAGGCATCAAAGTTGAAAAATATGCAAATAAATAATGCAGATGTATTCTACTAACCATACTGAAAATGTTGGTATATAATATGTTGATATTTATTTGAATTTATGGCCCCAAAGACCTGTGAACTGCGCACTAGTCATCATCTCATTTCGCCCTCCCGAAAAGAATTCGTCCACAAGCCGAAAATAATACGTAGCTAATGAGTTTAAAAAAAGGATAATTGTCATGTTCTACCAAAGAGACTCACGGGTAGATCTATAACATTTAGATCTAGTACTGACTTCTCTGCTTCTTTGCTTTGTGTTTGTGTATTCACATCTAAAGTTAAATTTAATTGTAGTTGGAATTAATATTTAATAAGATATATACTTTCCCGATTATTTTGGCGGTTGAACATACAATGTGAATTCCGGATTTGTTTTCATTCACAACTCAGAGTCGAGTAAGATTCTTGTGTGATATCTCCAGGCCCTACCTGGTCCCGTTTCACTTTGATTACCCTGTCAAACAAGTCAGCCTTCGCCCCTGGTTCACAGTGAACGCTACACTGGTTGGCCTAGGCTATCACGATGAACGCACACCGGGTGGGAATAGCCAAAAGGCTCGCCTGGGGAGGGGGGGGGTGAGAATAGAGGAAGCCAAGGCACAATCCCAAGGCAAAATAGCCTTAGAGGCCAAGGGAGGCATACAGTGGTCAGCGTGTTTACCTTTTTAAATTTTAATCATGGAAGAATTGTAAAATATACATCATGGTTTAGGCCTACTCATTTACACTTGAATTTAAATAGACAATTTTGCTGAAATTGCCTCTCCCAAGTTACTTTTATGGAGAGAGAAGCAAAAAGTACTTCCTTGTTTAGCATTATTGCTTCAAAACTGGCTCCGTATCAAATTCAATATGAGAACAAATCTTTTTTCTTCCTTATCGCCGGCAAGCTGCTCCTAGCGGTTTGTGGTCAGAACCACAATAAACCGCTGGCAGATGCTTGGTCACATTCCTTTGCGACAACGACAATGTATGTGATGCAGCGTGGTGTAATCAGGCGCTCATCAAAATACAAAATTGGGAGAAACAGCCGTTTTTCCTAAAGTTTTGAAATTTTAATTGAATTTTTATTTTGGTCTCAATCTCTTTTACGTCCATATAAAAACACATTTCCGTATAAATTTTACTGAAAAAGGTTGATTAAAGGCACAAAATATTTGTCATTTTTCTGTTTTCAAGGACTCTTTAGCTGTTGGAGTTACCAAACTTTTGCAGCCTTTTTCTAGCTAATTTCACCACTGAAACCAGGCGACCTCACTTCCTTCAATCGCAGATATTGTGAGTTCTATTCAAGATAGATGGATATTTAATTCATTGAAAGCAAGGCAAATAAATCAGCTTTCAGATGATACCAATAACTCCACATGATGCACAAAAATTGACGAGCACCTGATTCCACCACTTTGTGATATATATTAGTTTTCAGCTATTGCCAAAATCAGGAGTTCTTTCATTAGATAAAGAACTATCAAAATAAATAGGTAAATTTTTTTTGGATTTAACGACCAATTTTGTAATTTAATGACGAATATGTATATATACAGTCGAACCTGTGTAAGACGGAATCGTAAGGGAGCCAGAAAAAAATTCTGTCTTGGACATTTTCCGTCTTAGACAGGGGAATTTAGGTGGAGAATGGGGGGAGGGGGGGGAGAGGGGGTTCAAAGGCCCAGCCGGTGGGATCAAGGATCGCTTGTCCGATCGGCGAGCAGTGGTCAAAACTTCGCACCTCTCAATTGCTATCCTGTCTGATAATGACATGGGTCAGTCTTACTTATCCAATTACCACCAGTGTTTGCCTTTCACAGGACCACTGCTTGACCTATTAAAAACAGAAACGTTTGAACATTTCCTTTGCTCCCACCCTTAGCCCCACCCACCAATGCCACCCCTTACTGCCATCATTGTAACAACGATTCAAGGAACTCTTTTCTCGGCTGGCCGTACGATCAGGGCGGCAGGCATTGGTCAATCTAATTTCACACCTCTAGCTTCTGGACCGGGGAAAGTTTCCATAGGGGCTCGCTACTCGAGCACTCTCACGGGCAGTCATGAGATTTCACACCTACACCACACTGACCATCTGCATCGCTCAGGGCTCACATGATGGGGTAACATCTACCCCCAAATTGTACCCCTTCTCCTCTTCCTCGGCCAGCCGCATGACCATAGCGTTAATTTAGAGCCAGCGGAAGCAAACTTGCAAGTTTTGTTTCAAATCAGTGCTGAGCGGGCAAAGCATTTTCCGTCTTAGACAGGTGAAATTCTCGGAGGGGAGCAGATTTTTCTTTCCGTTTCCGCGTTGGACAGGTTTCCGTTTTATACAGGTAACTAAAGAGGAAAATATCAAGGGGGGAGGGGGGAGATTCCGTTAAGACAGGTTTCCGTTTTATACAGGTTTCCATTAAGGCAGGTTCGACTGTATATATATGTCACTCTCTGGTTTTGTACAGAAAGAGGGTCCCAACATAGTGGGAAAAACCCCTGGGAAAAACCCCTGCGGCGATAAAGACTCTTTCAACAGGTACAACTTGTTTTTCTCTATTCTACCTTTCCTGTTATGATGTTTGGTTCCTCACTTTTAGTTAACTTAGCTACAGTTTTACCTAATCTGTCTTTTAAAAAAAATTGAAATAGTGTAATATACAGTGCTCTGTCAGGTGAAGGTTAACAACCTTCTTTGAACTGAGAAATTTTGTCTAATTTTACATATCCTTTATTCTTTTCTTTTCCAGGAATAACTCATTATCATAAAAATAGTTTTAATATTCAATAGTATTGTCTTGTGGTAAATTAGAGTAAAATTGCCAGCATGATAATATTTGTTCTCATAAAGTCAGTATTTTAAAATTAATTTTTTCGTATTGTTTGTTTTTTCCCCTTTATATAGCGTGGTTGAGTCGAGAAAATGTCTCAACACCAATGCAATCCTGTTCAAGAGAAGATATCTTGTGTTTACACAATTGCTGTCAACAACAATGAGTCTTCTTCAAAGAGAAATCAACAGAGCTACAAGGTATCAGCCACCAAAGACCTCACAGCCAAAGCATTGTCTGATGATGTTGCTTCTGCCAGAGCGACGGAGAAACTTGATGGTACCTGCTGCCTAGTGGAAGTCTTTAATGGTAAGCTTGCGATGCTGCCTTGTTGATGGGATGGCAGTATAAACAGAAGCATGCAGACAGCACGGTACAATGAGTAGGCACAACAAAGTTGAATATATTTCAAAATCATTAGACCCATATATATGCTCAGCATGGTTTTTATTGTCCAATTATTTTGTTTTATGCTTTGTGTTTGCAGTATTTTTTCTTAACTTGTCTGCCACCGTTGGTTGTCTTGTCAGACCGCTAGGATGAACTGTAGTAAGTCACAAATAAGTCTAAAAACTGTACACGTTCGCCTCTGTTTAGATTGACTCTTCAAAGTTTCTGTTGTTCGGGAATTTTATTTATGACATTGTAGCTTAGACTAGGCTCTCACAAACACAGACAAGGTATCTCATATGAAACTGAGTTGAAGTTAATATACATAATGATTCTGTATAGTTTTTGCACTGGAATTGCATATTTCAGATTTTGAATGTCGTCTTCCATACTGTTCATATTACCTCAGTATTACTGGACACAGATTAACATTATATTAAACTTTAGCCTGTTCCCTTTTAAACTCACAACTTCAAGACGCAGCTTCTCTATTATTTCAATCACTTCTTATGGAGACAAAGCTGTTTCTAAGGTGTCTGCCAGGTCGAAAATCTATTCCATATTTTTGTTTCTTTTTAGTCAGCTTTTAGTGAGTAAGAGATTTGTAAGATTTGTTTATTGTTATAGCATAAGATAAAACGTAGAGACATTGTGACAGTTAATCTTATGATTTCGTTTCAATGCAGTGAGTCTCATGTCTGAACTAATTGTCATTTCACTGTAGCAGTTAACTTTGTTATATGAGTTGTGGTTCTAAAAAAAGTAATTGAAAACAGTTCATTTGACTTGTTTACTAATAGATTGTTTTGATTTTATCTGAAAATTAAGCTGCCTTTTTCCTCAGGGCAGCCATGGTTGTGGGCTCGTTTGGATCGTAAACCAAACAAACAAGGAGAGAGGCGATTTGCACAGTACAAGAAGTCTTTGGCAAAGTTTGAAGAAAGTGGAAATGGACAACAGGAGTCCTTTGTGTGGTCTTCAAAAGACTTCAAGGTAACATCAAAATTGTGTAGACTTCATGAACTTTGTAAAGAGGGCTATGGGGGCTCTCGTAGCCTAGAGGTTAAGGTGTTGGCCTCTCATTCAAAGGTCCCGGGTTCGAATCCGGGTAGTGACTGAAAAATTTTCTTCTCTAAATTTGTCTCCTTTCACTTCCTTTCCTGCTCTCTAGCAATGTTCTGTCGTCTGCTTTCGTCTCCTCTTTCTGCCCTCACTCCCTCATCTCCTTTGCCCCCCTCCTCTGGGCTCCTGACTCTTTCTACAGCCTTTCTACAGCTACTCCTTGGCTTCTTCTTACTGCTGTCTTTCAGCCACACCCCTGATCTTCTGGTAGGAAAGATCTACACCTAGCCTTCTCAGACAAGGGCAAAAAATCTCGGAGGGCCCGTGTGCAAGTTGCGCACGTTAAAGATCCCTTGGTGGTCTAAAATCGATAAGAGTAGGCTTCGGCCGAACCAGGGCAAAATTCAAAATTTCCTACCAACTGAAAAAGTTTAATGTGCCCCGCATGCTCATATGATCTTATACAGTTGCGAGCTCCGTAAAACACTTACAAAAACAAAAAAAGAAAAAAGAGGGCTATCTTGAGACTAAGCATGGTGCTTTAACTCACTTGCGACTGGGCCCTTTCACCAGTCACAAGCGTTGAAGACTGGCTTTTTTGGGGGTATTTCAATAAATCACCACAACTCTCAGAATTACCCTATTGTAATCATTTTTTGACACAGTAAAGTAACATTCAAGCTTAATCTAATACAAAAAACTAAAGTTGTCTAAGTCTAATACTTTAATTTGTATGATTTTTTTAAATTGGCATGAATTTGATTTTCCGAAAAATTTCCAGAGACGTGACAAGTAGAATGAAATTCACTGCAACAACAAAAATAAAAGTTCAAAGTGTTCTGGTTTGATTTGTATACATGTGCAAGTGTTTGGTGAAAATATAAAAGCTGGTCTGTGCATTGATTCAGACCCATACACTGAATTACATGAGACAGATGTACGGCACGACGTTGTGATTTCGTTGCGCGAAAAACAACACCGGTACTAGTGCTAGATCTAGCCCTAGAACTACGACTCGGGCCGTGTTCGGGTACATATCCAGGATCCTAACTATTAGACATATCATATTCTGAGAAACTAGAACTAGTAAAACGCACAGAAGTATAGAAAACGGCGAAATTATGTGATTCTTGTTCATGCGACTTCTTCGACCGTTACTACGACGCGACTGTCAGATTACTATCAGCTGTATAGAAAAAAACAAAGCGCGAGTTCCGGTCTGTTCAACCCCAGTTGGGGTCACTGTCCTTCACCTTCAATAACTTAAAAACTACCGGCCCCAAAGATATGAAACGAAGTCTAAGTAGCTCAGGCTTGGCCAAACAAGCGTACGAGGCGGGTCTCGCGATCCGTGCGTGATTTGTAGAGCGAAAAAAAAATTCCAAAGTTGGTCACGCAGGGCTTGTGAGACCCGTCACGAGCGTCGCGGCGGGGGTCACGCAACTGTTGTGTGACCCGTCTGAAGTGAGTTTTAAAAAATTTCTTTCTTTCACATTTATCAAAATATTTTTCTATGTAAACTCAATTCCAGACTTGTTAACTGTTAAGTTTTAAAAACATTTTCAATGCTCACCACTTTTATTTATTTGGTTGAAAACCATGTAGTATTTATTTATAAACGTTTGTGCAATGTGGGTCAGCTTCACCACACTCATCATCATTGCCTTTCTCACCCTGGATCAGGATATAGGCCACGAACAAACACTTTCCACCTTTTCCTATCCAGGGCTAGTCGCTTGATGTCACTCCATGTCTTCCCACTTTTCTGTACATCCATTTCCGTGACTCTTCTCCAGGTTCCACGTGGTCTTCCCCTTGATCTTTTACCCTGTGGGTTCCAATCTAACACTTTCCTTGTTATGCAGCTGCTTGACTTCCTGAAAGTGTATCCAATCCATCGCCAACGTCTTCTTCCCACTTCATCTCTTACTGGGCTCTGTCTCGTTCTTCTTAATACTTCCTCGTTGGTGATCCTGTCTGTCCATTTGATCCTCAATAGCTTCCTCAGACATTTGTTTAAGAAAACCTGGATCCTCTTAATGCACGTCTGGGATGCGTTCCATGTCTCACATTTCACCACACTTATAAGAGCAAAATTTTCATCTTTATCCTGGTTGAGTTTTCCTTTTTCCCACCTTTGAATGTTCATAAAGCCCTTGGCATTGGGATTGTGTTTCTTGTATTGTGACTGCAATACCATAGTCTGAACTTAAGAGCATAAAATAATGAGTACAAATATGAAATTAATGGAACTGGTTGCTTTGGTTTCTATCAAATTATTTTTTTTAACCTGTTGAAGTGTAAGATTGAAGTGCAACATTGGCTGCATTTTGTACGTGTGCATGTGCTTTACACGAAATGAAATGTGTGTCACTTTGTCTGTGCTAGCAAAAGTGCATTGCCTTCTTCATACAAGTACATTTGTTTTGTTATTACTTTGTGTTGTAGGAAGTTCCTGACAACTGGATTCCAGCTAGTCGTCTAGAAATCAAAGATGGATTTGTGGTCCCTGACAGCATTGGCCATACTCCAGGTTTCGTAGACAAAAACTTTTTTTTACTCAAATCAATATCATTCACCTTTCACCTGTTGGTTTGTTTTAGAGTTGTGTCAGGTTCTCCTTAGAGACTATTTATTGGAGATTGTTTATTTTTGTTCCAATTTAGTACTTGGGCTTGGATTTATTATTTGTTCTATATCTTTGGTAATGGTTTTGAATAATCTCAGCTGAAAAAATAAAATGTAAAAAAGTATTCTGTCAGTTTGTTTTCAGAGTATGTGATGTACAGACCACGGCGTCACTTTTCGCCCGATTCTGTTACTTTTAGTTAGCGTAACTCAGCAGCCCGCCGGAGCTCCCCTGAAACGACTTTGCTGGTGTCGGTTGAGAAGTTCGCATTTTTGCCTTAGTTTGAAACGATATAACTTCTTCCCCATCCCACACAGCAAACCATTACACTGATGTACTATAAGCTCAATGTCTTGAGATTAATTTTGCGTTGGAATAGTTAATTTCTGTGCCTTACTTTTTGTTCTAGACAAGTGTTTGTAGAGTACTCAATTTGTCCTATTTTTATTTACATACTTTTGAATAAATTATTCCGGCACAACAGATCTCTCCAAAACCTGTGTTAAACTAACTACGAATATCATGCCTTTACCATGAGAAATCTTAAATCCGCACAAGTAGTAATAATCAAGTTATAAGAGAAGAAAGATGCACATCTGCATTTTTTGACTAAAGACACTCAGCGTTAGCTCTTGTTTTACCATATTAAACAACAGAAAGTTACTCTGCGTTTGGTCATGAATCATGCTGTGTCTGTGGCAGCCTGCATACAACTAAGAAAGATATATTACGCGATTTAAAAAAAACACAAAGCTGTGTAAATACATGTACATGGATAGATATAAACTTCTTGTATTGACAGCTAACCCATTCATTCTTAGTTTTTTTGTCAGAAATATGCACAGACACTTTTAAGAATGTATAGAATTCAGAATATTGTCAGTTATTGTAAATGGTCATAGAAACCAAAATAAAAGTTGGAAAAGTCTGGTGCTGATTCGAGTGTCACAAGAAAGCTAGAAACTATTCTTATAATCCAATTACAAGAAGTCATCCTTGTTATTCAGTCAACTTACAAAACCTAGACTTAGCATTTTTTTTAAAATGAGGAATTTCTGGAGTGTAACAGATACTGTTTGTGTATTACATTGTAGTTAGTTGTATTCCGATACTAAAATTGATTTTTTTACTTCTTCATAGTGATACTACAGGGTTGTTTTTTTTCAACTTTCGAGAAAATATGCGAATATTTCCGATTATATTAGACAATTAAACTTGTATTTGGAGGAATTACTTCATTGCGAATTGTGTGCCAGATGGATAAAGTTGCAAAATTACAGTTTTCTATTATATGCGCAAATACCATCTTTTCTGAGTATCTGCACCAATGTTATGTCATTCATGTTCCGAAGGCTCGACAGTTTTTGTCTTGCCGTTTTTTTAATATTGATTTTTTTTCATTCACATTGTCCAAAATTTTACAATTTAGTATTGCCGACTTCAGCTTGTCTAACGAAATGACCAGACAAGTTACAACGAATTTCTGTTATTTTTTGAGTCTCAAGAGCAGAAATGCATGCTTTGGGTGCATTAAGTGGTAATTACCAGAAATACAGGTATACACCTAAACTGTACCTTGAAAAGTACCAAGAATGAAGTCAGCCCAGACAGAGCGGCGACAGGGAGCTGACCCCCGTGTCCCCAACGTGATAAGGCTCTCGGCGAGGAACCTCCCGCTGCAACTAAAATTCCACTGCCGGTGCGCCGTGAGATGTGTGAAATTTGGTTTTTGAAATGAAGTGTATCATTGATGACTCTTATTTACTCATCATAAATAAAATTTCTTCTTTAATTCTATTCACAGGATGGGTCCCTGTTGATGTCAATGCCAGACAACACTGTTGGCATCTGTCTGCTGTTGATCTAACACAAGGAGTGGCTTTAGTTCTCAGGTATAATCAGTTAAAAAGTATCTTTCTTTTGATTGTTCTCTCAAAGTTTTTCTATGCTTCAGTCATCTCACAGTGCTGTAATCTATTTGCACTGAACACTGGAAACACATTTTGATAAGGACTTTTTCATGGTATGTGCATTCAAAAGCAGTAATTATGCTTTTGTGTAAGGGATGTATGGACCAGAAGCTGAACAATAGATTGACATTGTGTTCCACAAGACCGAGAAAGGAGGGTATTTCTGTTAGTGCTTATAAGCATTACTTTAATCAACTCACCTCTAATGAGAATAGGGAAGCAAAGATCAATCTTCCTGTCTTTGCATTCTTTTTTTTCTCATGAGTACCATAGATAACAAAGTAGAATTGTTTTGAAATAATTTTGACTGAAACTAACTCATCAGGTATAAGCTGGAAACTTACTCTCAACCATAACAGTTTTACATCCTTAGATTCTTTGTACTAAAGCCAATGTTAATAGCAGAGGTTTGTTGATACATTTATGATAAAGAACTGCTTTTTGATTTTTAAAAGTGTTACCTTGCCACTTCTCCGTTAAGTGTCATGTCTGTGTCTTGATATTTAGTCAAATGTATTACCTTGGTTAGCAGATAATTGGGTTGGGGTTTTTTTGCTCCTGACTGTAAGTAAAATCAGGATTATCCTTTCTGAACTACAACTTTATTCCTCACTGCTTAGTACACTGGCAACCTTTTTTGAGACTGGGAAGGATGCTGATGCTGTGCCCAGGGCTAGTGTTTTTACAAGAATTAAATTGGATCTTTTAAACTTTGTTATACAGAGAGGATGAGGATGTTCCGGAAGAGCTTGTGATAGAAGTGCAGCCGCTGTCCTCCCTATGCGGTCAAACCTGTGAACTTATTGGCACAAATATCAATGGCAATCCTTACGGTCGGTTTGTTATGTTGTGGTCATTTTGAAAAGTTGTTTATATGTTTATATGAAGAGTGTGTCCTGCCTGCAAGATGTAGAATAGCTTATTTCAAAATCAAAATTTTTCCCCTGATTGAACCCCAGACTTACGAAAAAATCAAATTTTTAGCAGACTGAACCTTTGAACTTCCACATAAAAGTCAATTTCTGCCTCAGCAGCTGACCCCAAGAGCAGTCGGTTATCATCATGAATATATGCTTTCTTTCATCTTTTTCCCTTCCCTGGGGGTTCTCCAACCCAGAGTAGTGCTGATTTTTTCATATATATATATTCAATGGAGTCTGCCTAAACTGAAATCAGCAGGACCGCTAGATTCTCGTCGGTTTAGCTGGGTTTTCAGTTTAAAGTGGTTGCTCAAATAGATTTTCTTTTACAGGGTGTCCAGCAAAGTCGTAAAAAAGTAGTAAATTCGGCACCCTGGGCGTAAAGGTCGTAAATGGTAGTAAATTTGCCTTGAAGGTAGTAAAAATTTGGTAAACGGTCGTAAATTAGCCTGCATACTGGGTGATGAAGCCAGCAAGACTTTTCAGTGAACCCTAGCCGCGGTACATGACTCCGTTTTTGCCGGTCGCGATTGTGATATAATATTCGTTCACCTTTTCCACGTCTGAGAGTATGTTTCACGCGAAAAGCTGGCTATGGTGGCAGGTGAAAGAGTATGTGACACCGAGGCTCAATCGGGAAAATCAAGATCTACTTTCGCTTTCGTTACCACCCTGAAATGTAGTGAAGATAAACTGATAACGCAACATTTGTAATATGCAGGTTATACAGTATAAACGCTTTGTCGCTGTGCAAATAAAATTTAATAAATACTCTGACTCTTCACCACGCTGTCACTTGTGTGTGTGTGTGGGGGGGGGGGTGAAAAGAAAATACAAGCTTCGTCCGGTTTTTATATTGTCGGGTTCGCCAACGTGACAGGTCAGTGAACCTTCGCGCGAGGCACTACAAGGTACGGCATTGGTGAGCTCCGGCGTTTGTTGGGGTCGCCAAAGTTCATTAAAAAGTCTGAGCGTTGCGAAGTATAGGACTATGGAATGGGCAGGGATTATTGATTTTTTTTTTTTTTAGAGACACACTCGGGGGAGGGGGGGAGCGGCTGAAGGCAACACCAGAGGGCAAAAACTGTAAACAAATTTCAGAATTTTGATTAGATTTAGAGCCCTCTTCAAAGTGCGCGTTGGTGCAGGCCTTGTGTGGAATCGGGATCCTTCATACCTTGTAAGCCATGTTATTGAAATAAAGTGTTCGCGTTTCATTTGTTGGGTGATAGTAAATTAGAACAATATTGTAGCTTTCTGTTCAAGACTGGCAGATTTTCAGTGTCGCTGCCTCTTGCCCCCTCACAGTTCTTACACCTCTAACACTGAATAGGTTTAGTCGAGTCATTACGTATGTGTGTGTGTGTGTGTGTGCGTTGTTGTTGTGTAACATGGCCCTGGAAAATGGAGAAGCCGGTTTGGCAGTCACCCTGTATGTACACATTAGGTATAAATCTACCCCCCCTCCCCCTCCCACCACCACCAGGGCAGTGCTACTGACTGAAACGTCTTTAGGCCATTCCCAAAGGGAGGATATTAACATGTTCTTATGCACAGTAGAATAGTAAATATGGGCTGATTTATCAGTGTCATGCTTATACTGTGCTGGACCTGCATTGGGGGAACTGCTTCCTTTTCTGTCCTCTTCTTTACTATACTATCGTCATTTTCCTCTACTTCTTTTGTATGTTTGTCACGCTTGTGAACTACTATTTCCGGGGTGCCTTTATAGTCGAAGCTTGATTCCCCATTTGGACTTCTCTGTTGACATCCACCCCTTGTCGCTCATATCACCTATGCAGTTGCGAGCGCCTTAAAAACCTTACTAAAACTAAATCTAGCTGCGAGCAAGCTTGCGATCGTCTGTCTATCCTCCATTTTGTCGACTGGACTTTGTTGTGTGTTCTTTTCGTTCCATATGGTATGTAATAATAATATATATGTTATTGATGGCGCAAATTAACTCCCTTTTTCGAGCTGGTGTGGGGCTTGATTTGCTGGGTAGTAATTTTTTTTTTCAGGAAATATTGCTAGACACCCTGTTTTTAGTTTATCTCTGTTTTTATAAATATATTGGCTATGTTGAAACAGAGTGCACTCTAAATTATATTACATATCTTCTCCCTTGAGAGTAAAAGTCATGTACCTTTCAGTTAGGCTTTTGTTCTTTTTTCTCCGGATTTCCTTTTTATTTTTATGGACCAGCGTTTCCTGTGTGTGTGTGAATTAATTAAGTAAAATCTAATACTAGTGGCCATCATTTGCTGTTCTGTTCCTCATTTTCACCCCTTATACCTCATTTTTGCACTTATTTTTCATCAAAGTCATTTTCATGAGTAAGCATGTCTGTTACAGGTCTGGGCAGTAAGAAGTCCCCTCTACACCTTTTTGTTGCTCACGGCTCCCTGAGTATCCAGAGTCCGGACGTGACGGACTATGAGGCAATGTACGAGTGGTTCTCTTCAAAATCTGCCTCAGCTCAGGTGGAAGGCGTGGTCTGGCATTGTCAAAACAAAGAACTACACAAGGTGAGCAGCAGTTTAAATTTTTTGCTATTTCTGAGATTATTTTTCATCGGCTACTGTTATAGATAGTCCAGAGGCGTTGCAGTTTTCAGAATTTCAGCAGCAGGCTGGTTGCTTTAATCTTGGTTACCCTGGGATAGGGAAACAACGAGTTTTCTTCCTACCAAACTGTGTTCCGTCATAAGTCTTCCTTCTGTCCTTCCAAGGTGATAAATTTAGTTCAAACGATTCTGTGACATCTGTGCATAAATATACAGTCGGATTTGTCTTAAATAATCACTCATTATCTAGGAGAAAAGTGACGGTCATAAACCAGTGGACGTTTTACACAGTGTCGTAATAATCTGTAAAAAAAAAAGGCTAGGAGGAAATGGAAAGTGGCAATTTGTACAGGTGATTGTCTCATGTGGTCGTTGCAGCAGGTTCGACTGTACCATTTGATATTGCTTTTCATTCATTGTGGGGACTCCACTCAGTTGATTCAAATCTGCTTCCTATTGTGGATATTGAAAATTTGAATTGTGTGACAATGAAGACAGGCTGAACATTTTTGTTGTTTGGCAACTTTGCAATGATCCAATTCTGAGGCTAAGTAACTCACCATTAAAATGTCGTTTAGGGTCACTTTCTGGAATGTATATTTCAATGTACCTGATGGGCTTGTGAAAGTCTTGATTTTAAATGATTTGTTGCCTTTTACTGAGTCTGCTTTGTTTGCTTATTCATATATATAAATGTTTTGAAGGGATATGTGTTTGACTCTCAGAGTTCCTACCCTGAATCAAACATTTTGGAGCTGGTGCCATATTGAAAATGTTATTTGTGTGAGAGTCAGAAACTGTCACTGAGGAGCACAATAGGCATTTGGTTGGTTTTATTTGTGATTCATGACAAAGGGAAATACAGTCAAACCTGTGTAAGACGGAATCGCTAGGGAGCCAGAAAAAAATTCCGTCTTAGACGGGGGAATTTAGAGAGAGAGAGAGAGAGAGAGAGAGAGAGAGAGAGGGAGAGAGAGAGAGGGGGGGGGATAAAAAACAGACTTTGGGTTGAGAGAAACAGATAGATACTCGTACATGTGTTCTTATAAAATACAGTCGAACCTGTGTAAAACGGAATCGCTAGGGAGCCAGAAAAAAATTCCGCTTAGACAGTTTCCGTCTTAGACAGGGGAATTTAGGGGGAGATGGAGGTGGGGGGGGGGGGG